TGGCATCACTGATTCTTACATTGAGTGACAAAACGCTAACTGTTCCAAGATGGCGGACACACAGATGTGGCATCTATGTATACATATCTATGGCTGCACCATCTAGTTCTAAGAATCTTCTCCATCTTTTTCCATAGAGTCCTGGAGGATCGAGCACTCATGAATTTTTTAAGCTTTTATGCGTCTTGGAAAAGGTGCTTGCTAACAAGTGTCTAAATTGGACTACAGAGGTTGCTTGTCTGGGACATTATACATCATCACGCATACATAGTTCACTTTTACAGCATTGTTGTGTTTATTCTTGTGCTCTTGCAAACCATTCTAACTAAAGATTTCCAACTTGTAGATTTTAAATAAAGAATAGAAGATTTAACGGAAGGTTAGTGGTGTTGATGCTGAAGTCATGCAACCGTGGTCTAGTTCATTTGTAGCCTAACTTTAGCTTTTACTTCTGGTGATTGTATTTCGACTTCAAAATTCATAAATGTTGTGTTCATGTGTGAAGATTATTTTGTAGACCACAACGTGAAAGATTCATAAAACTTTTGTCGGCCACAGAGCTTATTTTCTGCAATAATCCAAAAGCCAAAGGAAAAATCCTGTTGGCCTGTGAACATTTTAATGTTTAACATTATCTTGATGCAATTTTCCTGTAGTTCCAGATTAATTAGTCTTATGCTTTTTTATACTGTAAGTTATTGGCTCCATAAAATAAAAAATATCTGAGGGTGTCATTTGTTTGCCTAGCAATTGCTATTTCAATGTATGGGAATGCAAACCAATAGCTTTCTCCAGGAATCACAGACCTCCTTGGCTTGGACAAACAAAGCCACAGTGTTTACACTTTTGAGGAAGTCAACCTACGAATGGCTTACTTATAGCTGACTTGGCATACCAGATGAGAAAGGGGAAAGTAAATTAAAGTTCATGAAACTGAATGATTAGCAGGACCTTCAACAGATAGAGGTTCAGTCCCAGAGAATACTTACTATTGATTTGCTTTGATTTGCTGCTTTTAAGCCTGTTGTGCCTGAAAACCCTTAGAACTGACTAATATTTAGCGAGTTCACCATAACCGCGTCTTTCCAACAGCCGAAATGTGAGCTCTCTGCTTCTCCTCCTGACTGACTAACACGCCGCTGGTCAAATGGAAAATTAGCTGGTCCAGTTTTATGGGGTGTCTAGACATGTGTCCAGCACAGCCGGTATCTATTACTCTTGTCTTAAAACACACACACACACACACACACACACACACACACACACACACACACACACACACACACACACACACACACACACACACACACACACACACACACACACACAATAAATCAGCCTTTACTCCAAATATCATCCTCCCATCTGTTGCTCAATATTGTGATCTAATCACAACTTTTGTGGTAAGAATGTATCACTTCCTTCCAGTTAGCACTGCGCTTATTGGATTCCCGATAACTCCTTAGAAAGCAAGGTGAAACCGCACAGGGCAAGTCACAGCAGTGGCCCTTGACCCCTCAACCTCTGCATTCCTGCTAAACACATGGTCAAACAACTAATGCTTGCATAAGCTGTGTGTGAAGGATCTGAGCACACACACATTCAAAGATGTAGAGAACAGGCTTGTTTCAATCCAGTTTGACTCTTAAAGAGAAACACATTTGTATGGACTTCTATGCTATACGATATAGAAATACACATGCTATGAGATATAGAGATATCTAATTATGTTCTACAGATAATCGAAAATCTGTATTGTTTTCTATGTCTGTATAACCCTTTTTCATAAAAAAAAAAGAAATTTCCAATGACTGCAAGTTACACTGACAGATCACACAATGGAAACTGAAAGATCTATGAAAACAAGGCACTTCTATGAATAAGGCGCTTAAAAGCTAAACTAGATTTAAATAAAGCAATTTAACAAATGTATATTAGCCTACTAATAACAAGAAAAATAAATATATTTAACTTTTTCTGTTGGTTCTAGCGCTCTTTAACGTAGGCTACAACACATCAAAACTTCTATCAATTCGTAAGGAAAGTCGTATTGAGCTCCGTTACCTCTCAGATCCACTTGCGTTAACTTAACCTTCCCAAAAAACGCCGAAGTCATGGGTCTCATGCCTGATGGGAAGCATCCGCGGGCCTGATCTTGTTTGTCGTCAACAGCCTCGCAGAACCGCAATCATCTGCGCAGAAGAAAGTCAGCAAACCAGCGTCACATCTGCCGGAGGAGGAGCGGTTTGGAGGAGAGAGAGAGAGAGAGAGAGAGAGAGAGAGAGAGAGAGAGAGAGAGAGAGAGAGAGAGAGAGAGAGAGAGAGAGAGAGAGAGAGAGAGAGAGAGAGAGAGAGAGAGAGAGAGAGAGAGAGAGAGAGCGAGAGAGAGAGAGAGAGAAAGAGAGAGAGAGAGAGAGAGAGAGAGAGAGAGAGAGAGAGAGAGAGAGAGAGAGAGAGGGAGATATATGAGATATTCATTTCCCCCCGTGGTTTTCTCTCTCTCTCTCTCTCTCTCTCTCTCTCTCTCTCTCTCTCTCTCTCTCTCTCTCTCTCTCTAGTAACACTTACACTTTCATTGTTGCCTGTATAATGCACTATGCACGCGCTTCTCACAAAGTAATACAACCTTGAACAATTGTATGGTCATCAATCACTGTAACCACGTCGTTGAATACAAAATACGCAATGTGTAGCCTATTATAAGATATGGATACATTTATAACGAAGCAGGTCTATGGGCTAGTCGACATGAAATACTGAGAATATGAATTTTGAATTCTTGTGGAATGACGTTATATAGACTGATCATTCACTTTACAATAAGGTTCGTTAGTTAACTACCTTAGTTAACATGAACTAAGAATGAACAATACTTCTTCAGAATTTATTTATCTTAGTTAATATTAATTTCAACATTTACTAATACGTTACTAAAATCAAAGGTTGTATTTGTTATTTTTAGTTAATGCACTGTGAACTAACATGAACAAACAACGAACAGCTGTATTTTTTATAACATTAACAAAGTTTAATACATACAGTAACAAATGTATTGTTCATGTTACTAATGTTAACTAATGAACCTTATCGTAAAATATAGTTGTAGGCTACTTAAATTATTTTTGTCACATGACCATTTAAAATTAACGCGTGTGGGCAAAATAATAATAAAAGACATAAGACCTTTCCTTTTATTTAGTTTTTTTTGTGAACCCACAATCTTGATGTTGATTGTCTATTGATATTATCCATCCAGTCTATCCACCTCCTCTAAATAGAATAAAGCATTAAAAATGCTGTGAAATTAGATATTGCATTAAATATACGATGCAAGATATAAGCTATATGATATGGCATTCAAAAGGGGACAACAACACACAAAATCTCTTAAACATAGTAACATTTTTTTATTTTTTATTTTATTATATCTGCACATATGAACACTTTCCCTGCACTCGATAAACAGGCACTAGTGCTACTCACCACATACAGCAGAAGAGACTTTTTTTTTTTCATTTGAGAAAAGTAGGTCATGCTTATGATGAGGGTTTCCACACTTCTGTACCCATGACTAAGTGTCACTCAATACTCACTTTTAGGCATCTCTGCGTTTTAACATTGTACCAGTAAAATCCATTACAGCCTAACACTGCAAAAACCTTATCAGAGCACTTAATATTAAAAAATAAATAAAAACAAATACAATCAATTCCACTTACATTGCGTTAAACAAATCATTATTAAAGCTCAGGGCCAGCACACACATGAAACAAATAACAGGTCTTAGGTGAGAGATGTGCCCTGACACAAAATCACTAAATGGGGTGGTAAAGCTTGGCACCATTCAACATTGGTCCTGCAAGACAGAAATCGACTGTTTACACTGACACCCAACAGCACAATATTTTTTACACAATGTTGCGACGACATTACACACACAGAAAAAATATTCACCCTTCTTCATTCAATAACAAAGAAGACCTAAAAAACAAAAGGAAATTACAAGGAATAGTTCACCAATATCTTTCCTCAACTTGTTCCAAACCGATACGACTTTCTTCATTGGAACAAAATATTCCTAAAAAATCCTACATAGGACTTGCTTGCTATATTTCAAATCTTCTGATCGCTTAGTATGAGGAACAACAAGTCGGTATTCACTGATTAACTTATCAAATGAAACATTAAATTGTTCAAAAAACAACTCCTTCAACAGATCCGGTTCTTGACTTCAGCTCTCTGAATCATTGAACTGAGTTATCATAACTCAGTGGAGGGAAAATGATCAGTGAATGACGACTGAAATGTTCTTCTTGAGGCGTCAGAAGCCCATGACACATATGGACTAGTTTTACTGTGCTTTTTAAATTGAGCTTGACATATTTGGTCACTATGAACCGTATGGAAAGAGCTGTGTGATTCTTCAGCGATCTCCACAATGGTTTGGAACGACATGATGGCGAGGAAATAGCCGTTTTGCGGAACTATTCCTTTAATACTTTTTTGGGGGTTGGAAGTATGATGATCATTTCCTCATTTGAAACTTTCGCAGAATACAATAAACTGGCCTAGATCTGAACCGATTACAGAACGTGTAGTTTACAACACTCAAAACATCAACCAATCACGAAAGGAGCAAAGAACTCATGGCTGTTTCTTGATTGCATGAATATTCAATATAATTTGTGCTTGCTTTCCAGCAGAAAGCATATACATCAGCTGCAGGAACAAATCCTCTGAGGTAAAACATTCCCTTCATAAAAACAAAAGCAGATCAAAACAAAACAGAAAACCACACAGAGCTCATGGGAAAGCCATGTTTTTTTTTTCTGTACACCATTAAAATTAGTTTAACGGTAGTGAACGCACAACGCTGCATGATACACAACACATTGTGACTTCCTCCTACATCCAATGATCAACGTATGGATATTCGGCATCTATACCGACACTGTGTAGACTGATTCAGGAAGGGGTGAGAAGATACACAGACAGTGCTCTGGGTGTGACATTCACACGGCTTGATCACTGATTGGACGAATGGATGGTCTAGCTCTGTGGTGAAGCTTGAGAACGTAACGGTGGGACATTACTCCCGGTCTATGGTGACAGGCGTGAGGGATCAGGACAAGTTCTCTTCCCATTTCAGCAGCGAGTCTGGAGGCCTGGGGTAATAACCTGTCGTGACGGGCTTATCTGAAGAGAATCTCTGGAACTGAAAGTCTAGAGGAAGATCTGGAAGAGAGATTGAACAGGGGGAAGGTTTAAAGAGGGGACGCCATTTCTTCACACACCACTATAAAACAAACTGCTCTCTTGTGGTATTATAAACATTTATTTGTACAGTACCATTAAATATTTTCCCTGAAGAACACAAGGATACTTCACCCAAAAATGAAAAATTTGGTCATCACTCATGTCGTTCCAAACCCGCGAGAGTTTTGATCATCTTCGGAACACAAATGAAGATATTTTTAAGGAAATCTGATGGATTTCTGTCCCTCCATTGACAGCTACGCAACTACCACTTTGATGCTTCAAAAAGTTCATAAAGAGATTGTCAAATTAATCCAGTAACAATATCAATTGACAGGTGTAGTCCAAACAAGATTTAATTTAGGCTTTTATTCACATAATAAATTGCTATTCCGCAAGAACCAATGAGGTTCATTCTTTTGTGTTTATGAAGCACATTTGAGCTTTTGAAAGAGGTTTGTTCTCGCACGTCAAGCACGTTAAGGTTTATCTGTGAATAAAAGCCTGAATTCAAACTATCAGAAAACTCTCAGATTTAATTCACAATATATTCATTTCTGTTCCGATGATCAACAAAAGTCGTACGGATTTGGAACAACATGAGCGTGAGTGAATGATGACAACTTTAATTTTTGGGTGAACTTAAAGAACAAAGACGTTTTTTAGAAGATTAAAATATTTATATAAATTATAAAGTTACATATAATACCAACTGAAAAAATCCCATTTTATGCCAGATAGGAGCATACATCAAGGAAATATAATTAATAACTATTCATATTATTGATTAGTTATTAATTTATCTTTCAGAAATATGTGCTTAAATCTTTGAAATTGGCTAAATGATATATAATCAGATGATAATCTGATAATATGATCCATCAAAATAGTCTTTAAAATGTAACATTGCATGTGATTATTTATTACACAAAAGGTTATTTACAAATAGGGAGCATCACAAGAAATAAACAGAACAAGAGTCAAGACAATGAGTCTCATTCACTAATAATTTGTACGCACAGGAGAACTTCTGACGAACTTCCTAATTCACAACACGTTCAAACGCACATGAATTTGTTCTTACCCTCGCTCTGATGTTAGTGAACTTGTAATATTCTAAACGAGCGTGCTCAAGGTTAGTCATTTGCCTAAAACACGCCCAAACATCTCCATATAAGGGCTTTCCACACACACTTTTCCTAAGACTTTCGTCACTCTCGTCAAACTTGCCGCTGTCGCCCGATCTTTAAACAAAGCCAAGTGTGCCATTCCCACCAGTTCTCACAATAAACACCTTTTATACAGAGCTCTCATTAGCCAGCTGTACACATGCGTATATCTGTGTCCTTCAGAAAAAATCTAAATTGTAATATTTAACATTTTTATTAAATAATTGTAAACATGGATTATTTAATACAAGTAATGCAACATACTTCAATATAATTACAGTCAGGTTAGGATGAAATATAATTTATAAGTGCTTTTTGCGTACGTGTGGTTTCAGTTGTTCCTATATTTTGTCGTAAATTTAGAATACATTTTACTTACGACATTTTTGGTAAATCGTGATTTGTTCTTAAAATCTTATATTATTATACCCAATATTTGCAGTATGCAAATCTGAATAATGCCAGTAAACTAGAGCACAAGCTGAAATGCAGAAGTAGAGAACAAGAATAGTTTTTAGGAACTGTAGGGTTACGGATACTCAAAGTGAACCTATTATGCTATATTAAAGGTTCCTCCTTTTGACTTGGTGTCTCTTACAATAGATTAGGTCAAAAACTTCAATGTTCTCATAATATACATTGCAGCATCACCTCTTTTCTCAAAGAGTCTGAAACGGTTTCGATAAAGGATTGGCCTTGACCCAAATGTCACGCTAAACACTCGCAGTGTTTCTATGAGTTCGTGACGTAGAGGCGTTTGGACTGTCTAGAAAAAGTCTCCCGCTGAGCTCCCATAGGTGCATATCGTACATTCTGAAACCTAAAATGACAAATGGGACGCCCTATGGTCTCGTGGATCACATGCATACAGCGGCCATTGTAATTCCACAAGACCAGAAGTATGAAGTGTGTCATTGAAGTGTACCATTTAGGACAGGGCAAAACCAGTAAACGTTTTGCTCAAATTTTTGATAATATAACTTAATCAAAACCATAGTCTAAATAAGAAAAGAACACAAAATGGAAGCATTCTCACTCCTAATCTCAGACTTTCAGAGCCCCCGTTAAAGCACAAATACCTGCTATAGCCTCGATGCTGGGTATAGCCATAGTGCTGTATGTGTGGATACTGCGACAACACCAGGTCAGTCTCGGTGTCTCCTCTCCTTCATTCTTCTGCACGTCTACAAAATATGAGCCCCACTGGTTTGATACATCAGAAGGAGATTTCATTCCCTGATCCTAAGAGGAAGATTATACAAGGAAGACAGAAAGAGAAAAGTCAAGCAACCTTGACAAACCACCACCACTGAATACAGGACATTGCATAATATTATATTGTTACATTACATTATATTCATATTTACAGGTAAGCTGCGTAACACGGGTTTGTTTATTCAATAGTATTTGTACGCCAAAAGTGAAAGTAATGAGTGATAAAGAGTGTGGCGAAATAAAAGGGGAGGGTCTCGACGAAATCCTAATTGGAGTTCACGGGACGCATTTGAAACGTATGATAACACCAGCAGTAAACGGTAACGTGTCCTGACCTAGATGACCACTTGTGTTCATCGGAAATGCATCTTAATCCCAGGAGGAGGCAGAGCCTCTCTCTCTCTCTCTCTCTCTCTCTCTCTCGCTCTCTCGTTTCCTGGAGAGGTGGGATGGTTACAGGTCTAATCTGTTCTGAAAAAATTCTAAATAAAATGCCACTAACCATTGAATAGTGTGTAATTGCAAAGGAAAATACACAGGCATCAGAAATACTACATTTTAATTGGTCAATAGTGGCATTCTCTGGTCAAACCTTTTTCCAAAATAACCACTAATGACCAGTTTGCTAATGTACTTTGCATCAAAATCACTGTTGCAATTGTATTTGATGAAAACTGCTGCTGACTGTACATCATCCCTTACTGTTAAGTTATATTTGTGGCCTTTCCGGGTTTATTGAGGAACAGGGTCAGGAAGTTGGGACTCGAACTCGGTCGCCAAAAGGTCAAAGGTCTGACTACTAAACAAGTATGCTTTACATATTGAGCTCTTTAATAAATTCAGCCCAAATTAGGCAAATGCCAGTGTTTGGGTTTTGAGGATGAGTACAAGTCACGTAACCTGTCCGATGTATGACTTACCTTGCAATAAGGTTAAACGTAAAGTTTGTCAACCAGTGTTTTGTGCCATAAATTATTGACTTAAAGGGATAGTTCATTTACTCACCCTCAAGTCGTCCCAAACCTGAATGAATGTCTTTCTTCTGCTGAACACAAAAGGAGATATTTTGAAGAATGTGGGAAACTGAACAGTTGATGGACCCCATTGACTTCCATAGTATTTCCCCCCGTTCCATTCCATTTAAAATATCTTCCTTTGTGTTCAGCAGAAACAAAATTCATAAGGTTTGGAACAACTTGCAGGTGAGTAAATGATGGTAGAATTTTCATTTTTGGGTGAACTATACCTTTAATAACAATAATAATAATGAAATTAAAAGTTGGATTGAAAGGACATGCTTTTTGTGTTGGGTCACAAATTTGATGTCCATTATAAAATCTGAGACCGGAAGCAAACAATTTCTCTCAGCATGTTTTCATGATGAATCTGAACTGAAGGACTTCAATAGAATGAAACTCTCTGATCTGGTAAAAGAGGAAGTGTTTGATCAGAGGTTCCCATAGTTTGACGCACGTACACACAATCAATTTTGCATAATTTTTGAAGAAAAGAAAAAGCTCAACTTTTTTAACAGGGGTTTTCAAAAATACCACAATAGTATAATAATTAATAAATTAATAATGTATGCTAAGATGTGTCAGTGGGTAAAATCTATAGTTGTTTTAATCTAAGACATCACTGCACTCATATGGAGAAAATATTAATCTGGTCAAATCTTTTTTTAAGTAGGTGCCAATTTTTCAACAACAAAAAATGTATTCAGGGAAAAAAATATTCTACTAAATACATACACTCACCGGCCACTTTATTAGGTACACCTGTCCAACTGCTCGTTAACACTTAATTTCTAAGCAGCCAATCACATGGCGGCAACTCAGTGCATTTAGGCATGTAGACATGGTCAAGACAATCTCCTGCAGTTCAAACCGAGCATCAGTATGGGGAAGAAAGTTGATTTGAGTGACTTTGAACGTGGCATGATTGTTGGTGCCAGAAGGGCTGGTCTGAGTATTTCAGAAACTGCTAATCTACTGGGATTTTCACGCACAACCATCTCTAGGGTTTACAGAGAATGGTCCGAAAAAGAAAAAACATCCAGTGAGCGGCAGTTCTGTGGGCGGAAATGCCTTGTTGATGCCAGAGGTCAGAGGAGAATGGCCAGACTGGTTCGAGCTGATAGAAGGGCAACAGTGACTGAAATAACCACTCGTTACAACCGAGGTATGCAGCAAAGCATTTGTGAAGCCACAACACGCACAACCTTGAGGCGGATGGGCTACAACAGCAGAAGACCCCACCGGGTACCACTCATCTCCACTACAAATAGGAAAAAGAGGCTACAATTTGCAAGAGCTCACCAAAATTGAACAGTTGAAGACTGGAAAAATGTTGCCTGGTCTGATGAGTCTCGATTTCTGTTGAGACATTCAGATGTTAGAGTCAGAATTTGGCGTAAACAGAATGAGAACATGGAACCATCATGCCTTGTTACCACTGTGCAGGCTGGTGGTGGTGGTGTAATGGTGTGGGGGATGTTTTCCTGGCACACTTTAGGCCCCTTAGTGCCAATTGGGCATCGTTTAAATGCCACGGCCTACCTGAGCATTGTTTCTGACCATGTCCATCCCTTTATGGCCACCATGTACCCATCCTCTGATGGCTACTTCCACCATGTCACAAAGCTCTAATCATTTCAAATTGGTTTCTTGAACATGACAATGAGTTCACTGTACTAAAATGGCCTCCACAGTCACCAGATCTCAACCCAATAGAGCATCTTTGGGATGTGGTGGAACGGGAGATTCGCATCATGGATGTGCAGCCGACAAATCTGCGGCAACTGTGTGATCCCATCATGTCAATATGGACCAAACTCCCTGAGGAATGCTTCCAGCACCTTGTTGAATCTATGCCACGAAGAATTGAGGCAGTTCTGAAGGCAAAAGGGGGTCCAACCCGTTACTAGCATGGGGTACCTAATAAAGTGGCCGGTGAGTGTACATTCTCCTTATTTCAGTTACAGACATCCTGAAACATAACTAAGTTGTATTAGTTTTGAAGTATTTCTAATTTCTTTAGAGTACAACTTAAGTGGAACATCTTTCCTGCCTTTCCAAAGAACCGTTACAAATATTAGAGAAAGTTTTCTGTGAAATTAATATAAGTTCATCTGAAAACTGAATCATAAACCCTAAAGGACAATGAGGGGGTTGAGTGATGTTACAGTTTTCTAAGAAATTTTGCTTCCTTTAAAAATGATATTTCTGCTGTATAGACATATTTGTTTTAAAGCACATCCACTATCTTTCCTGTAATTCTCCCCTTCCTCTTCCTGCTGACTGCCTTTCCTCCCATTGGTGTCTTTGTAACAACAAGTGATTGCAAAAAAATGCATGCAGCTGTTTTTCAAATCTCTGATGAAACACTGCTATCTATCCATCCATCCATCAATTTTTGGTCTTTGGCCGATAGAGAAAAAAGTCAGAAAATATGAGCCGAAAATATATGCGGCTCGCCCCTCAGCGTTCAGTGCTCAGGTTTCACTCTCGCGCAGCATTTTTTGCAACTTTGCGAGCGGCTCCGCTTCTGAAGATGCTCAACTCTCTCTATAAATGTCTTTGTTCTGCTGAACACAGAGGAAGATATTTGGAAGAATGTGGTATTTTTTTCCATACTATGCAAGTTAATGGTGCCCCACAACTGTTTGGTTACAAACATTCTTCAAAATATCTTCCTTTGTCAGGTTTATTAGGCTGCTGTCACTTTAAGACCTGAAGCACGGATCCATTATACTGTTACACACGCATTTTCTTTCTCAACTGTTTACGTCCACTAAAAACATAACTGAGTGAATACTCACCAAGACCGGCATTTTTACATTATTTTGTGTGTTTTTGACTGTTTAAGCGCAAAAGAACTTAGTATTGAGAGGCGGCTTTATGTGCGCTTGAGTAAAATTATACTCTGTAACACCAACAATATTCATCTGCAGCAAAAGAAATGAGTGAGGAGAGGCAGGTTGGTGTGTCACTCGCTGTCGGAGAGATCTTGAGAAAGCGAGAAAGCACACCTAGTAACGTTTATCTATTCTGCTGAAAATGAGTGTTGGAAGCGTTTCAGATATTTCCGTATCGAAAAATCTATATTTATTGACAATATTTGGCAACCCGCCAAAGTGGCTAGTAAGAGTGACTGCGTTACACGCCACTGCTGAAACACACCCCCATTTGGCAGGTTGCCGGGTGTTATTGTAAAGCCCTGGTTATATCATACATCGTGCAGCCTTAGAAAACGGTGTAATAATGCGGTTCATGGATTCTCATCCGTGGAATGCTTCGCTTACAGTATTTTGACGCTTTTTCGCTCGACACGGGTAAATTACAATCAACGTTTTTTTTTAAATGAGTACTCAAATTTAATCGAGGAATCGTGACAGCCCTACATAGAACTGAATGAAGAATAATATACTGATACTTAATATTATTTTAATATATTTTTAGTCCAATTTTGGTGTGTTACTTTAAAGGTGCAGTATGTAATATTGACAGGGTTGAAATAGGTACTGTAGTACAAATGAAACATATTAGAGAGGGTTGTTTCCCCGCCCCCTCCACCTCACACTCGACGCTCACGCGGGTTGCCAGTTTGAGGACAAACAACAGGAACGGCGCAATTGACAATGAAAGCCATATAGTCTTACACGCTGTAGTTTGACGGGTTGAATCATCCGTGTTTTAATGCTCCTGTTCATAGAGTTTTTTAGATGGATGCTGAGGCTTTTCAGGTCGGGTAGAATCTGCGATCTCTGACCCAGTTTGTTTGCTGGCTTCCATGGCTACAATACGCTCTGTTTTCCGACAACTGGCAACCCGGAGTTTATGTTTTTTGGCTAAGTTGGCCTAATAGACAAGAACGGGTATTGTTCAAAATTCATAACTTTGATGAAAGGTTTTGATCCACTTCAAATGTTGACTACTGTATATATACACTCACCTAAAGGATTATTAGGAACACCTGTTCAATTTCTCATTAATGCAATTATCTAATCAACAAATCACATGGCAGTTATTCAATGCATTTAGGGGTGTAGTCCTGGTCAAGACAATCTCCTGAACTCCAAACTGAATGTCAGAATGGGAAAGAAAGGTGATTTAAGCAATTTTGAGCGTGGCATGGTTGTTGGTGCCAGACGGGCCGGTCTGAGTATTTCACAATCTGCTCAGTTACTGGGATTTTCACGCACAACCATTTCTAGGGTTTACAAAGAATGGTGTGAAAAGGGAAAAACATCCAGTATGCGGCAGTCCTGTGGGGAAAATGCCTAGTTGATGCTAGAGGTCAGAGGAGAATGGGCTGACTGATTCAAGCTGATAGAAGAGCAACTTTGACTGAAATAACCACTCGTTACAACCGAGGTATGCAGCAAAGCATTTGTGAAGCCACAACACGCACAACCTTGAGGCGGATGGGCTACAACAGCAGAAGACCCCACCGGGTACCACTCATCTCCACTACAAATAGGAAAAAGAGGCTACAATTTGCAAGAGCTCACCAAAATTGGACAGTTGAAGGCTGGAAAAATGTTGCCTGGTCTCATGAGTCTCGATTTCTGTTGAGACATTCAGATGGTAGAGTCAGAATTTGGCGTAAACAGAATGAGAACATGGATCCATCATGCCTTGTTACCACTGTGCAGGCTGGTGGTGGTGGTGTAATGGTGTGGGGGATGTTTTCTTGGCACACTTTAGGCCCCTTAGTGCCAATTGGGCATCGTTTAAATGCCACGGCCTACCTGAGCATTGTTTCTGACCATGTCCATCCCTTTATGGCCACCATGTACCCATCCTCTGATGGCTACTTCCAGCAGGATAATGCACCATGTCACAAAGCTCGAATCATTTCAAATTGGTTTCTTGAACATGACAATGAGTTCACTGTACTAAAATGGCCCCCACAGTCACCAGATCTCAACCCAATAGAGCATCTTTGGGAGGTGGTGGAACGGGTGCCCTGGATGTGCATCCCACAAATCTCCATCAACTGCAAGATGCTATCCTATCAATATGGGCCAACATTTCTAAAGAATGCTTTCAGCACCTTGTTGAATCAATGCCACGTAGAATTAAGGCAGTTCTGAAGGCGAAAGGGGGTCAAACACAGTATTAGTATGGTGTTCCTAATAATCCTTTAGGTGAGTGTATATTGCCAAAGACATTATTCTAAAACATAAAAGTAAGATTTTGTTAAAGATATCAAATGAGATTCCAATAATCCAAGATGTCCAATAGACAAGCACATGTAACATTCCAACTCGCTTCCCTATGAAATGGAGTGTGGAAAAGATCCTGAGCTTGACTAAACAGAAACAGCCTTTCAGTCCCACCTCAAACTTGCCCTTTTTCTCTGCAGGGCCTTCAGTCGGGGTGGGGCTGTTACAGGGGGTCGCGTTCGCACGGGGGACGCCCTCCCCCTCCATCTCCTCCACGATCATCACCGTCTCCCACTTTCCAAAGCTGCAGGCGGGGAACATGTCCGAGCGCATGCTGTCTCCGAAATACACCACCTGCATCAGAGAAGACACACACGTGGACGCAAATCAATGCACACACACACACTCAATACAGGCAGCATACAACATCTGCAGAAATACTTAAAAATAAAAATAAAATATTTTATTATTATTCTTTTTTTTAATAATAAATAAATTATAAACATTAATAAATAATTGAAAGCTTAAAAGATTGGGAAATTAACAGTTAAACAGAATGTCACAAAAGTTTGATTTACAGGTTTTCATACAGTATATGGTCATATTGGCATACGTACATTATCTGTTAAGCATTCCATAATGTAAAAGACTAATCAAAGATATATATATATACACAGTATATGAAGAGTTTGGTTCCAAAACGCAATAAATCCATTTAGATTAATTTGAGTAAAAATGTGTTTTCTTTACCAAGAAAGTGGAAAGATGAAAACCACTATTTTCTGTTTCAAACTTTCACATAGAATTTGTAGGTCGTAATAACAAAAAAAAAAAAAAAAAAGTCCAGGTTTTGATTTTCAAAGATTTATTATAAAAACGGATTATTTTTTTCCCCCAAAATGCAATGAATCCTTTTTTTTTTTATCAAAATGCAATTAATCCATTGAATCAATATAAAAGTTTTTTTTTTCATATTGAAACTTGAAAATACACAACAACGTAAGTTTATTAGTATAATATTTTTATTAAGAACTGTAAAGAAGATTGAAAACATTTTTCCTCCTCCCGAGTGCCTCATCTTCTTAATCTCCTCACGTAAATGATTCGATTTCGATGCCTTACGTTTCTTACCCACCGCAGAAACAACCACAGGTTCATCAATGCCGTCAAAATTATTCATTTTTTTGTTTGTTTGTTGATCGAAAAGTACAAAATAGATAAGAAAAACTAGGAAGCCGGGTGTATTTAAGGCGCTGCCGTTACTGTTTACATTGCGTGGAATGGTGCGTTGTGATTGGTTGAGAGCGGATATATCGCATTCTGCAGAGAAGGGAGACTGGCGTTTGTCGCGGTTTGGAAAGAAAGGGAGAAAACATGACAGAATAACACGGCGGATATCGCATTTTACTTAAAATTAAACATTGACTTTTCAATACCAACCAGATACAATACTGATTTTTGCAGTAACTAATTTTTTTTAGAAATGGCGTTTATCGCGTTTTGGAACCAAACTCTTCATATATATGTGTGTGTGTGTGTATGTATGTATATATAATGTTTCACTGTTCCACAAATATTACTCCAGTCTTCAGTGTCACAAGATCCTTCAGAAATCATTTTAATATGCTGATAAGCTTTGCCATTATCAGAATGATTCAGGATTCAGACTGTCTACCTTGGGCTCAGGTTTGTTGGTCATCTTCTTCAGTAGTTCGTGTAGATGAGGCCAGTTGCCCTGAGAATACCAGCCAGGCTTTTCCAGAGACGGCAAGCCTTCACCATCTTCAACATCATCCACTATTGAGAGAAAGTGGAGCATATGTTAAAGGGATACTCCACTTTTTTTGGAAATAGGCTCATTTTACAACTCCCCCAGAGTTAAAATGTTGAGTTTTACCGTTTTTGAATCCATTCAGCCGATCTCCGGTTCTGGCGGTACCACTTTTAGCATAGCTTAGCATACATCATTGAAGTGGACAAGACCATTAGCATTTCTAAAGAAAAATGACCAAAGAGTTTTGATATTTTTCCTATTTAAAACTTGACTCTTCTGTAGTTACATCGTCCACTAAGACTGACGGAAAATGAAAAGTTGCGATTTTCTAGGCTGGTATGGCTAGGAACTATACTCTCATTCCTGCGTATTAATCAAGAAACTTCAATGCCGTACCATGAGAGCAGCAGGCGTAATGATATGACGCAGCGCCTGAAAATAGTTCCGTTGTGTTGAAGGAAGGTGGCCTATTTTCAGGCGCTGCGTCATATCATTACGCCTGCTGCTCTCATGGTACGGCATTGAAGTTTCTTGATTATTACGCAGGAATGAGAGTATAGTTCCTAGCCATACCAGCCTAGAAAATCGCAACTTTTCATTTTCCGTCGGTCTTAGTGCACGATGTAACTACAGAAGAGTCAAGTTTTAAATAGGAAAAATATCAAAACGCTTTGGTCTTTTTTTTTTGAGAAATGCTAATGGTCTTGTCAACTCCAATGATGTATGCTAAGCTATGCTAAAAGTGGTACCGCCAGAACCGGAGATCGGCTGAATGGATTCAAAAACGGTAAAAACTCAACAGTTTAACTCTGGGGGAGTTGTAAAATGAGCCTATTTCCAAAAAAAGTGGAGTATCCCTTTAAGATACACAATGAGGATAACAAACAATACTTCTATACAGTATTAGTTTATACACTTCTACATCTTACACTTAACTGGTAGTCTTTCATTTAAGCCATTAGTCGACCAATCACTAGTTTATATGAATTTAATTTCTTAAATACATGGGAATACTAAACCTTTAATAGAGTAATCATATGCATATTCTGTACTCAAGCGAACGCCTAGCTTTAGTGTTTTCTAAGTCAGTGTCGGCTGCAAAGATCATCTTTTGGCTGCACTGATGTCAGAGTCGTGGGAAATGTGTGTTACTCACCCAGCGTTCTGAAGGGTCTTTGCTGTGGAACCAGAGAGAAGAATCCAGGCTTCAGGGCATTCGTGATAATGATGTCAAACAGCTCCTCAAAGTCCGTTCTGCAAAAATGAGTGTATAAATTATTTGTATGGTGATATCTTTGTGTATATGCCGGCCGGCTCCACTGTAGAAACAGGAACAGCAATAGGGAAACACAAATGAAATATAGTCAACTTTATCAAAAAATAAACAAGTCAGTCTCTGGCTTTAAATTTTTGTAGATTTCTGAATGCCATAATTCTCCATATTGCCAAGAACCCTACACTAAATGCAAAATCATATATAAAGTACAGCGTGATGATGAGGAATGCTTAGTGCTGTACATCGGAGAAACGAAGCGAGCAGAGATAAAGAAGTGTTTCTCACCGTGTTCTCCTCAATATACATAAGAGTTTATAGCCATATATTATTTCTTTTCTTTTTTTTGTGCCTTGTTGCACCAATACACAATTCAAAACAAAACACTGGATCTCAATTACTAATAAAAATCGGATTTGGACTGACCGGATATGAACTAAGTCTAAATAACACTTTTAATTCGAAAGGTTTGATTATTTTATGTTGTAAATAACTCAATGTTATGTTGATTAAACTAGTTCTTATGTCTCTTATCAATATTTTATTGTTAGGATATTTCTTTTGCGTATGTCTGTAAAACTCACCCCAGTATGTGCTCACACACTAGTCGACAGTAGTCCGAGTGCGAGCTGGTGATGAGCAGCAGGATCTTCCCGCTGTTTTTCAGGCTCCTCAACCACCTCTTGACCGCATCCGAGCAGGGCTGTAGGTAACGGCCAGGACAACGCTTCACACTGGGGAAATACGTCCCGGTGTCCTCTAAACATGCAACAACAAAAAGCATCAATAACTGTCAGTTCTTAATAAGGTAAAACATCAGATTTTTAAGAGTATTTTATTGGATTAAATAACATTAACCACCAACACATGAAAAAAAAAGAAAAAAAAAAGGGTAATATTAACTAGAAAAAAAAAAATCATACTTATAATAACACACTTATTAGCAGCAATATAATTTAAATACAATTTTAAACATTAATGTAATTTTAGCCATAATAAAGACACATAAGTAAATAGGTAAACAAAAAAAAAGGTTAAATATACACTGACTGGCCAAAAATAAGTTAAAACTTAGGGCCAGATTTACTAAACAGGGCTAATTAACGTGAGAGCGCAATCCCATAAGAGTGGCGACGGGAGTGGAGAGTTCTGCGCGTGATCTACTGACGACACGCTAATGAAAGAACACAGACGCAGCCGGATCATTTCCGGTCATAATGACCAAAGCAATCTACCAGAGAGCGTCTGGTTTAAGACGTGCTTTTTTCGGGTGGTAAACAATGGCACAAACACCAGTACATTGACGAGCGCAAAGCTTAGTAAATCACCTTGCGTGATTCATTGAAATACTCTCCTCCCATACATTTAGCATCTGAAAGGGAAACTCCTACAAATGCATATGCAATAAGGTCCGCCGCAAAATTAACCCTGTCCAGCCTGTCCACGCTCCTTTTTCACTGAGTGTCTTTAGTAAATCCTGACAGTAGTTTTTTTAACGCCAAAAGAGAGTTTGCGCTGGCACAAGCTGTAAATAAATCTGTCCCTTAATAGTCTATGATTGGATCATTATTGAAGAGATTAATGTTTCTGGCATGTTATATGTTTGGCAACAATTCATTTAACCCTCAATGATGCAGTGTGTAGCATTTATTTCTTAAACAAGCATGTCGGAAGACACATCCCATGACCATATTCCAGGATGACAATGCCAAGATTAATATATTCAATATATATATTCTAGAAAATACCAACAGATAAAAAACTCTAAACCTGACGGCCTCTGCTAGAAATCTTATAACGGGCCATGTCTGGATCTTCCAGCAGGACAACGGTCCAAAACAAACGTCTAAATCAACACAATAATGGGTCACTGAGCACAAAATGAAGCTTCTGCCATGACCGTCCCAGTCTCTTGACCTGATGAGTGGAGTGAACTGAAGAGAAGAAGCGCCAGCACGGATCTGGGAATCTGCAGGATCTGGACAGATTCAGTATGGAGGAATGATGGTCTCTGATCTCTTGTCAGGTGTTCTCCAAACTCATCAGGCATTATAGGAGAACACTCAGAGCTGGTATCTTGGCAGAAGGAGGTTGCAAAAAGTATTCAATAAAAGGTTGCCAATAATTATGGCCAACGTATTTTGGAGAAAAGCATTTATTTCATAATGTGATTTCCCCCACTTTCAATTCTTTTACTAGATTTTTGCGAATATTTTGGATAAAAGATCAAAAGGATAAACAATGCAGATTTATTTTAACTGCCATCTATGATCATATTTACCAGGGACGCCAATATTTCTGACCACAACTATATATTCTATCTCTCTCTCTCACACACGCACACACATTGTATTTAAAGACGTCTCTTCTGCTCACCAAGCCTGCATTTATTTGATCAAAGATACAATCAAAATAATAATGTTGTGTTAAACAACAAATAGTATGGTAAAAATTGTAAATTCAAAATTTTTACATAACTACTTTTCTATTGTTGTAATATATTTTAAAGTGTCATTTATTCCTGTGATAGTAAAGCTGTGTCAGGTTTGTGCTGGATGCCGAGGACACGGGAATTTCAAAGTAGGTCATTTATTTACTAAACACTGCGGGAAACCACTCCAGGACATCAGGACACACAACCCAACATAGACGACGATCAACAAACACTGAGGGAAAACACAGGGCTTAAATACACAAGGAAACAGATCAGGGAAATAAGACACAGCTGGGGCAAAACAAACGAGATAACTAAATGAGGTGATTAACAGGGCACAGGTGAGACAGATGAATTAATGAACTGAATACAAATCACAAACACAGTCCAAACACAAACAGAAACGTGATGTATTTTCAGCATCATTACTCCAGTGTCACATGATCCTTCAGACATCATTCTGATATGATGATTTGCAGCTCAAGAAACATTACTAATAATCCTCAATGTTGACAACAGTTGTGCTGCTCCATATTTTTGTGGAGACTTTTTTCCAGGATTCTTTGATGAATGGAGAGTTCAAAAGAAAACAGCATTTATTTGAAATAGTTTATTTATGCTGAATAAAAGTATTCATTTCTTAAAAAAAACAACAACTTTGATTGGTGGTATGTTCTCTTTAGTAGACAATTTATGTCTTGACTCAAAATGCCATCAGAGAGCATCCGATTATCATTATAGCAATTCCATTTAAATGATGCATTATGTTGCAGTTCTCAATAATTACGCTCCACCTGTTTTTTATTTACTTGCCAATCTAATTTCCACACACACTTGCTGTGTTGATTTTAGACCCCCCACTGCCAGCGCATCTTTTTTTTTTTTTCATTTCTTATCCTGGCTTTCTATCTGACCTACCTAGCCCATATGGTTTACATCAAACCGACACACACCCCTCATGATTCCAAAACTTTTCCACAGCCTGCATGATCGCAGACTCGAGTGATGTTCAGCCCTCAACGTAAGCCATACACACATACCCCTGAGACGCTCATAACACAGATTCAGATTTAACCGGTCAAATGCTTCACCGCGACACTGCAGCATGAGGCCGTCTGATCCTATCAGAACTCACAATCCAAACAAACCCGAGTTTCTCGAGAACTAAAAACCAGGACGAATGGAAAACCAGCGCCACTGGAGTGTGTAGATGGGCGAGTTGTTAGTGAAAGAGTGAAAGTATCAGTGTACGCAGGGTGGCCAGCTTACTAAAACAGGAAGTGGACTGTGTTTGCCTGGAGTGAAGGAATGCGCTCCATATGTGAGACGTACCGTTTCTCTTCATTTCATGAACAGCAGAAAGGGAGACTTAGGAAAACAGGCATATTCACTAGTCTTCAGTTTATATTGGCAAATACTGCCGCACCACGTACACACAGCCACGTCTCCGAGCCCTGGAATCATCTCACACATTCACACGCAGACGTCTCAGCCTACACACTGGGCTCCGCATAAATACCAGCTTTTACACCAATGGCCTCCTCCGAAAGCACATTTCTTTATTTAAATGGATAAATGTGTGTTTGCTTATATGTCCAGGTCCGTAAGAGCACACATGCATAGCTCGTGCATTTTGAATAATACACAATCTTATCAGAGTACTTCTATAACATAGAGTTATAGACATTACCCTTTAAACGGACTTTAGTCAGACTTAAAATATGTATACAACAAAAGGTTCACACATTAAAATCTAAACAAACAACAGCATGATAGTGGAGTTTTCTAACTGAGTTTATATTGCTCTGCTGCCCCCATGTGGGAAACGCCACGCATTAGTCCCACTATGATTTAGCTTAAACATGGTATTTTTAGTGCAAGTATATGAAAGGTGTCTTCAGACCCCCATTATAGACCGAATTTCTTTCTTTCCTTTTTTTAAAATAAACGTTTGGTTAAATAAATTGGAAAAAAACAAGCTTTTGTCTATGATTACACTAGTTGCAGAGGACCTAAAATAGATACTGATGATAGAAAAATAAGGTTTTATTGGATGCACAGCCAGTGAAACAGAACTGTCAGAAAATGTCAGAAAGCATTATAATTAACATCTTTAAACACACAGCACTAATAAAAAAAGTGAATAGTTATTAATATTTATAATAATTCCAGTTCACATGGATAAGCGGAAGCGATAAAACAATTCTGTATTATACATTTTTTAAGGCCGGACAAGTAATTTGTTGAGGTTAATTTGTAAAGAAAGACTACACGCCTGCGCACATATATATTCAAACGCACATACCTATAGACTAAACACTTAATACGCATGTGCACGCCATCAGAAATTGTCAAGGCTTGCACCTGGGAACCTATTTCAATGTTTGAGTTCTCGAGCCTCAGGCACTGTTGTTGTGCATTAAGGGTTTTCTGTTAGAACGGTGTCGTGTTAGCGGCCCCTGAGTTAATAACTAATGATCTTTGCAACGGAAGTGAATCAATCAAAACTAACTTTAAATAACTTTATTCTAGAGCTGCTGTAAAGCCTAAACAATCTCTGTTATTTTAATAAAGAAAAAGTTTAAAAAAAAGTTTAAATAGCAAAACTTTGTCAAGCAAGCTAAGTCAAATCAGCTATACATTTTCATGTGCACAGATTTATGTTGTGTGGGTTTGCCATTTGCCATTATACTACCAGAACAAATTATTAAAATATCATCTTAAAGATAATAAATTGGTTAAGTTGTATTAAGACAATGAATCCTTTTGAATGATATACAAGTAAATCTGACAATTAAGTCATTTTCAATTTGAATCTATATAGCACATTTTCACAATTTTCCACAGACAACCTGGCGCCCCCTGGGGGTCTATGGGGTCTTTTTATCTATAAGGCACACCACAAGACTCCTAACATGTATTTACTCTTTCCCCGCCAGTGTTTTTAAAGAAAGTTGCCAGCCAGCGCCAGCACTTTTTGCAATTTTCATAAGTTTTTCATGGCCCCCAGAATATTTGTTGTATGTATATCTGAACAGAGTATATCAAAAGAAACAGTCTCCGCTTTTAAACAACAACAACAACAAAATGTTATTCTAGATACATGCACTCTTTATCAACACTTTATTATGGCAATTTATTTTATATATTTTTTAAAAAGCAAACATTTTTAACTAAAAGCTGAGAAAAAACTGCGTTATTGTCAAAGACTTCGTCCGGATCAGACACTCCCAAAACTTCACAGTCCTACACCTCGTCCTGGGTCGACATTACCGCAAAATATATAAACATCCTAAAATATATGTTTAAATATAGGCAAAAAAAT